AGATAAATATTTTACAAGTCAGCCTAGTTGAAGTAAAAATGTGAATAAAATTCTTACAAAATAGGTAATAAATTAAAAGAAATATGAATTTGGAAAACTTGGCGGTAAACCTCTCCCCCCCCCCCAAAAAAAAGAAAATGTCACAACTGCTTTAGTTATGTTTCCACTTCAACAAAACAAAACATTTTACATAAATGATGCTTTTGGATTCATATTCAAAGATTGATTATTTTATAGTAAAATGATTTTGAATATGCAAATCACATGACAACTACAGCCAACATAAAGTTCCAGTCAAACAGAATGTATCAGAACTACATTTTGATATCATTATTTGCTATTTTGCAGGTACCAAAAATGGATCACTTTTGAGAAGGGTATGAAACAGTTCTATCCAACACAAAATATTCAGACTTGAGTCATAAAGATGGGTTCAGACTGGAGATATAGAAGATGAGGGTATCCCACATACTTCATGGCATTGGAAAACAAGGAGTATAGATCAACTTGGGCAACTAAGACCATACAAATCATACCCCAGCCTTGTTGATAAGCAATAGGTGAGAATCTACAGACTCAAAAGCCAACCATGTGCCCCAGGCAACAGTACACAACATGATCAAGATGGATCCGCATCTGGAAAAGTGACTCAAGTCACAAGTATACAGGTTGTTTCCATGAAATATTAGTTCAACCATTTCACACCTCATGCAGTTGGAGTATGAAATGGGTATTCATACTTCATATAAATACATACCAGTCAAGAATCCAGCACTTATGGATCTGTGTGTGATCAGACTGTTGAAATGGACATTGGGAAACATTCTTCTTCATAAATTAGATAAATTAAGGAAAACTTCAGGGAGGATATAGTGTACTAAGAACCCTCATGACAGAGCCTTTTGCAATGAAAACCATACTGCAAAGCTATTTTCAAGATGCATGGTCATCAGATAGAGCATGATCAGACACTGCAACATAATCTAAGTATTAAATCGATTACGAATCCTAATATTTTCCACAATATTTATGGTGTACAAAGACAAAAATTTCTCAGCACTTTTTTCAACAGTCTGATTGCACAAAATTCACAGGTGGTAAATTCAATTTGACTTGTATGTTTTTGTTTTTTTATGAAATAGTATGAATACTCATTTCATTCTCCAACTGCTAGAGGAATTCAACAGCTGAAAAGGAGGTGCAATTTATCTTGGTGAACCCATATTTTGTTGGCCTCCTTTCAAGGTGAAGATCCTTTCTGATTATGTTGTGTACCTTTGCTTGGAACACATGGACAGATTTTGCCTTTGACATTTTTGTTCATCTTGTTACAAAATGCTGTACTTTGCTTATCACCATTGGGTTATGATTTATTGCAAGTCTCTTTTCTGTATAATCCTGGTACCCCACATTAATCCATATTCCTTTGTTTTCGAATGCCTTTAAGGACAATATATATCTTAATTTTGAAATTCTAAATACATGACCTGAACATGATTTGAGTGTATGAAAATTGTGTGTCAAAAAGGGCTGTTACATACCCTCCCCAAAATCAATAAATTTTTTGGTAGCATCACACGACCTACAAAACATCAAAACACAGTTCTGATGCATACCGTTCCAGATCCACCAAGACTTTATATTGGCAGTGGTTGTCACATGATTTGCTTATATGCATATTCAAAATCATTTTAGTACAACATACTCAACTCAGTGCATATGCAAGGGGAAGATACAGACAATCTTGGAATGCTATCAGGAATAAATCAATAAAACAAATCAGAAATTTAACTCTACTTAATAATCTCAAATCTCATCTGAATGACCTTATAATACAGTATGTAGTATATTTACAGAACAAATATACATAATCTGGTACTGAAGTTAAGATACAAAATGGATTTTGATCTATCTCATGAAGCACATATGATGAATTATTTAATAACATTTTACACTTGTTAAAAACAGGAGATACTCAACAATATAAAATACAATCCCATCTTAATCTTTGATTTCAGAAATGTCAGTTTGTTTGTAATCAGAACTGTGACCTAGTCGATGAAACAAATGGACAAAATACATGTACTTGAATTCACCGAGAGAAAATGTCTTCACGGTTCTACTTTTTGCACACGTCCTACAGAGTAATTTAAGATAAAAATATAATCAATACAAGAAAGTTTCGAAAATATGTAAAAACAACAAAAATATATTTTGCAAATTCCACACCAGCTTTACCTCACATTCAATAGTTACGAGTTTTAATTGGTCCTCATTGAATGCAGCTCGGCCATTTTTCTCATAAGCTAACCATATATTACTTGCAATGGCTGCAGTAACTCGAGCATCTCTGTCTCCATAACCAGAGTAAGCCAGTAATGCTCCATCTTTATTCAGTAATCTGACATGAAAATAAAAGGTTTCTCTAATAAGTTTCTCATCAAACAACAACTATCATTTCTTAAGTATAGCCTTCATTAAACAAGGCTGTGAAAAAATTTAAAGTTAAATGCACACATCTCCACCTCTGATAAAAGTATTTTACAAATCAGTCAGCAAGAAAAAAAAGAGAGAGACAGAGATTTACCAGAAAATAATTTGCATCTCAGCTTCCAGTTTCTCACTATGACCTTTAAAAATTAAGTCCACTATTTCAAGAAATGAAACAGTCTGCTAACAATAAGTTTGACCAATCTTCTAAATATCTTAAAAACTGAAACAAATATATCCCATAATTTTCTTACAACCCCAAGTTAACAAGTTTGAGCACTTGAATCTAGTAATACACTTCAAGTCAAGTAAATATTGAATCATTCTAGTAGAGGCCTATATTCATTTTTAAAACAAAATCAGCATATTTACTCTTTAGGATTAAAATTCATACTCATATCCTTTGACACCCTCTTGACCTTTTTTAGCATGGCACAACACTTGGTGCAGAGCTATACAATTAACCCTAATTACCTTCTCAAGCTAAATTTATATTTTCTTATACATTCCTATATACAGCATTACATCTTTCAACAGGGAAACAAATTCTAAATATCAGAGCACTCATTATAGTTATCTAGGTTTAAAATAACAGTATTAGCTCTAACCATCATCATTTGTCTATAATCAGTGAAGTCGAACATAATACAATGAATATTAAAAAGAAAGATCTAGTTAACATAGATGAATTTCTAAGCAGACTTTTCACCCCTGCTCTTACAAGTTACATCAAGCATCTGTACAACATTTACACATAGAGAAACTAGAGAAATACATAATAATTTTAGCCTTATTATATTATTATGATCATATTATTTTAGCCTTAGTATATATATATATATATATATATATAATCAAGTGAATATCTAGACAAAATATGTATGCAATTGTGTATACATGAAAAGATACACCCCAACCAATGTTTCAAAGACTCAGACTTAAGTCCACATACCAGATAGTTTTCAGATGGAATTATTGTTTGTTACGACTATAATAATAGACTATATTATTATATGTTTAATTTAATAACACTGTTTTACTTTCTCGAAATCCCAGAAATAATCCATATATGCCGTCTTATGCTTTATATTTTTAATTCTAAGACTAAATAAATTCTCTCCTAATTCAACTTACAAGGTACATTGCACTCCGCCTGTATTTGCTTGGCTTAAAACCTGAGTTAGTGCTTTAGGTTTAAGCATATTTATCACTTGTTTGATTCCGATGCTAGAGAATATACTACTAAATTAATTTCAGTATTGTAGTATAAATATAGTAATACTATAGACAATTTGACAAATAAGTCACATGCCACATAAATGACAGGGGTGACATCTACAAATTATATTTAAACTGGTAAACTAATATTATATTGGCGTTTGATGTTTTACAGAACTTAATTAAAAAACATTCACAGAACAGCAAGAAAAGCCAAATACACCAAAATTACACCGTTTTAAACATTTCTGAAATAGCTAAGGTCGCATTATTTTACGAAGCTTTTGAACGAATTTTTAGTTATAAAAAAATAATGTTTAAAATTTGATATTTATTAATTTCACGAATTTTTAAATAATTACGCTAAACGCCAGGAGCTTTTGTTTTGCAGAATGAAGTAGTCACGAAAGGTTATTGAGGACACAGGTTTATTTTATGAGTTTAAATATGAACGCAAGATGTAGAAGAGTATGGTATTCTCATTTTGCCCCGATTTCCGTCAGAATAGCCTGATGGAATTGCAAAAACAGGAGGATTGGTCACATACCGTATCACAAAGTAGTTGCTTGGATATTCCTTGTCATTGATTAAGTATTTACAAAAAAGAAAGAGACTAAACACAGAGTTATAAACAGTCACAATCTTTATTCACAAAAAATAAAGTCCGAGTTAAACACTTGATCAGATACTTGTGTGTCGACTAGAAAGGTAAAGTTTAATTTGTGCTGAACATAATCTATACGTTTGAAGAATCTTTAAAAGTTTAAACAAAAACGATCCATCTCAATTATAATATCAGTAAAGTGTGAACCACTAAATACTGGATGAAAACTTTATAATATATACAAAGTCTCCTCTCCCCCCCCCCCAAAAAAGGGGGTAATTCAAGAAACAAGGGGTTGACCATACCTCTAGGAAATCACGTGCTTCGCCGCTAGAACAGATTACTGTTTCTACTTCTACTCGTATATGGTTCATTATGCAATGAATTCCTCTAAGGGAAAATGCGACTTTGGTGACTCGTGCAATCCCGTGAATAACCAAAATGAGAGAAACTTAAATAGTTTTCTTGATTTATGTTCTAGATTAATAATAAAAATGTAACAAAATGCATTATATCCCTAAATATGATAAAAGAAATAAAAAAGGTCTGTGAAACTAAAATGAATCACATGTCCAATGGCAACATCAGGGAGCGACCAAGGGTAGCGGGTGCCACCCTAACTATTTGCACATATTCCCAAATTTTTCACTAAAAACTAAAGCTCACAGAAAACTATGTCTTCATTCACCTGTAGACCACAAAACCCCAATCAACAACACATCATTCAATCCATTGTAAATGCCGTTAACTTTACAGTCAATCAAAGAACGAACTGAGAACATTTTGTTACGCCTCCAGTCGTTAGTTAATTTTCCGTAAATTTCTTTCCGATGAAACTTTATCGATACAAGTCCTTTCTTAAATAAAACTGATTTATTCTTTCTGAATACAACTTTGCAATACACTTAATTTCCACAGTCGCGCTATAACAAACGCTATAATTAACAACGAACGTCTCACGACTCAACAATACATCTCTCTCTGTCCGCAGTTCAATTACACGTTACCTTCTTGCCGTCGCTTCTTGGCGGCTTATATATACAAGACTACCGCATATCTAGTAGCCTCTCGAGACTTCAGGAAGGGACAGGATCCTTCTAGAAGTTCATGACGTGTTACTAGAATCACGTGACTTCCGCTGTCGTAACAGTACATAACGCATTATGCTGGCGTAGTGTGATCAATTGATCAGTATTTTGTGCGGCATTAGATCACAATATGGACTGAAGCTTTGTGTGTTGCATTCCCAGCCAACTTGATGAGCTTTGGTTTTTCGGAAAAAGGCCTCGTAGTCAAATAATGTACGCCTGCGGCAAATTAAGTTGTGTAGTTGAAATGCTGTTACATTTCTTCTTACTGGAAACCTGTAGTATAGGACCAATAAAGAAAGTTTTGCAGAAAATTATTTGCAATTTCATCATGATGTAATGTTACTCAAACAACCTATCAATTTTAAGTGCTCTTATAAATATATATGTACATTAAGGAGTGTGACACTACAAATCTATGCATAACACGTATTGACAATCCCTCAACAACATATTCCAGTCAAAACATAATCTCAGACTATACTCCCTCCTGTTTAAATTATGCTCGTCATTATTCTGCACTCAGTATAACCTGGCAGGATTAGGTGGTTAGGGCGCTGGACTCGCAATCTGAGGGTCGCGGGTTCGAATCCCCGTCACACCAAACATGCTCGCCCTTTCAGCCGTGGGGGCGTTATAATGTACGGTCAATCTCACTACTCCAGAAAACTGGAACCCAACTAGTTATCTTCCCAGACAATGAAATGAGGCCCGATTAAGACGGACTTTGTTTTCATTTTTCAAACTCAAACCACATGCAGAAACTCAAATATCAAGCTGTTCCAAAATACTCTTGAAACTATTATCAATGTACATGCCTGCTGTAAGTTCAAGAAACATTAACTCTTACGCTATTGTAATTTGTAGTGTAATGTGGCAATTAAAGAAAGAGTTACTGAAAATACTAGATCTGCTGTGGGTAACAATTCTACACTAAAGTACTCTTTCGGAAATAGTCGGGATTCTGTTGTAACTGTGTAGAATTTGGGTTTTGAATTTTAATCGATATTTTTGTGTTTCGGAAGTAATTCTTATTTGTGCTTGATATGACAAAAATGACAATAATGTTTTTGAAATGTGTAAGATGGATAAATATATTCATGTAAAATACATAAGTAAGCACAAAGACTAACAATGGAAAAACAGTGTGGGAAATGACAAGGACGAATATAACTTTAATTAAGCTTAACTAGTAACTAAAAGGGAAATAAATGAAAAACAACGAGGGCTATCTGCGTTAGCCGTCCCTAATTCAATAGTGAAAGACTAGAGGGAAGGTAGCTAGTTATCACCACCCGCCGCCAACTCTTGGACTACTCTTATACTGACGAATAGTGAGATTGAGTGTGACATTATAACGCCCCCACGACTGAAAGGGCGAGCATGTTTGGTGGGACAGGGATTCGAACCTGCGACCCGCAGATTGCAAGTTGAGCGCCCTAATCCTGCCAGGTTATACATAAAGGAGGCGGAGACAAATAAGCCAAATTATACATAAAATTAAATTAAAGGCTCATTCTTTAACATAGATATGTATCTATATAATAAGATTCAGTGACTGTGTGTCACGTAACTCCTCTTAAACCACTAGTCACCAACTTCTAAATGGTACCAAACGAGTCGTCTCAGTTCCGAGGTTTGCACAAAGTTAGATATTTTCTCCCCACTCCTTGGGGAACCCGGAAATTTCCCGAAAACCCTTCTCCTAAACTGCTAGACAAATCAACTTTTAAATGGTGTCGAACAAATAATTTTGGCCCCGAGGTTTGTACAAAGGTAAAACTTTTCACCCAATCCCTCAGGGAACCCGGATATTTTGCGAAAACATTTTTACGGGAATTCCCCGAAAGCGGACCCCAAATTTAACTGACTTACATCATATCAAGTAAATAAGTAGGCCTACTAATTACCGTTCGTAATTCGGTTAAATAAATTAAACTTGCATTATAGCGGCAATGATCATTAAAGTGAAAAAGCGCAGAAATGGATTTCAAGCATTAAATTCAATTAAAGCGGCCCTGTAAATGTGGGTCACAGCCCCACGGGTTCGCTACTATTAATTAGGTTGCTGATGAATCAAAAACCCACGTTTCTATGTCAAGGTAGCGCCCTCTGTCCAATGTTGGACACATTTGCAAGGTAACGTTAAGAGAATGACGTATTACCATGGCATCAGATTATAAGCATAATTATACTAAAAACAAATAATTGTGCATATTAACAATTTAAAACAAAATTTATGATATTTTGAGTCATGATCTAGTACTTTTTAGTAATCGTTGTACATGATGTAGGCAGTAAATAATACCTTATCTCCAAAGAACATATCTCTAATTTATAAATAAGATATAAAAATACTCTGTCCTTTAATAAGTATAAATTTATATTATTTTAATTTTATGAAACCAGAAAACATGCATTATTGTACTGTTTATACCAACCATGGGTAGATGTCCCTAACATTTTATATATATATATGTTTTATAACATTGGTACATTAATATTAAACATTTAATGTATAACAGTGTTGTTTTTTTATTATTAAAATATTACAATCGACTCTTCGTTGCTCTTACAGTGCCATCATCAGGAATGAAGTAACATCAGGAGCAAAATACGTCATAAGGTTAAGGTTACACTATTAGAAAGTCGCGTAACAAGAAATGGATGGGAAGTTTGAAAATTATGTATCTATTTATTTCCTGGGTCAATGTATGTATTTAAGGCTATTCCTTATTGTCTGTGTACTATCATATCAAATCGATTCATGATTTTTCAGATCAATTTATGTTTTGAGTTCACTTTTCATTTTAATATTCAGCTAATTAATGTTATGACCTATTTCATTACATGACCAGCCAAAGTTGAAGTATTATTATTTATACGATTTTTTTTATTTTATATTCATTTATTCAAAATGTTAGGTATATTTTCATTTAGAAAAAAAAACACTGTAGAAAAAGACCTATTTTTCATTTGCCCAATGTATTTAATATAACATTAACAAAGTTCATTAAGTCTGTCAGATAAACACATCGAAGACTACTGGTATTGAAGAAATAAAAATAATTTGAATTACTTCATTAATATATACACCTGGAAAAAAGTTAAGCACCCCCGTGTTTTTTTCAAGTGATTCAGATTCGACGTTCTTGTGACTGATTATAAATTACCATTCAATCTAAACGTGTTTATCAAATGAAATTAT